AGGCAGGAAAATTTGTGAGAGTCTCATCTCCAATTAACCACCAAAATGCTGGAAGTGGAGCTGTGGCTCAAGTGATAAGAGTGCTAGCCTTGAGCACAAATGCTCAGGGACAGTGTCCAGTGGTTCAAGGCCCAGGACTGGCAAAAAATTAAAACAATAATAAATAAGATATATGATTTGGTATCTATTTTAGTTCAATCTTGCTGCTAATTGTGTGTGTGTGTGTGTGTATGTGTGTGTGTGTGTGAGAGAGAGAGAGAGAAAGAGAGAGAGAGAGAGAGTGTCCTGGGGCTTGAACTCAAGGTCTGGGTGCTGTCACTGAACTTTTGTGAGGCTTACAAGGCTTAAATTCTACCATTTGAGCCCTAACTCCACTTCGAGCTTTTTGGTGGTTAATTGGAGATAAAAATCACAGACTTTCCTGTCTGGACTGGCTTCAAACTGAGATCCTCAGATCTCAGCATCCTGAGTAGCAAGGATTACAAGCATAAACCATCACTTCCCGAGTCTATCTCGTATTAAAAACTCTCTTGTTTTCTATCTGTACTTAGGATAAAGTCCATAATCCTCTTATGGCTTCTTGCAAAGTGCAGCATTCTCTAGCCCTAGCTTATTCTCTTGGTTGTTCCAACCACATACCCACATGATCTGCATGCTGCTGCTGACCCTGCCCCCGTCTTGTTAAGGATAGCATCTTCTCAGACTTTAGATCTTCACTCTAAACTTCACCTTATCAAAGAGGCCCTTCTTGTCAATTCTATATAACAAACATTCCTCCCCTGCCCTTACTCATATAATTCTGCTGTTATCTAGTTTGGTTTCTTCACAGCATACTTATCACACCAGTAAGTCATTTTATTTTTCTACAGTACTTAATATTTATCTCTGCTTCTCTAGAGGTAAGCTCCTGTAGAGCAGCAGCTCTCACTGGAAACAGGATCTGCCATAAAGGAATGTTTTTTGAATAAACAAACCTTTTAATATCTGTTTTGCTCTTTTAAAGCAATATTTGTAATACGTAAAACCCACACTTTTGACTTCTCACTTTCTTCCAAGAGTCGTAAAGTCTGATGAACAAAAAATTGCTTAAGTCTATGAACATAAGATAGGAACTTTTAGCAGTATATCAGGGGAAAAAAAGACTGTCATCTCTGGTCTATCACTAGTATTCACTCCTTCTACAGTGTGGGCTAAGACTTCAATGGGAAGAGAATCTGCTTTTTATTACTTCCCTCTAGATAGGCACTTTCTTTTTCTAATTTAAAATTCATTACATTCTTTTTCAGGATCGTAGGCTATTACATAACTTCTTAAATGTCAACTTGTTGAAACTTGGCCCTTGATGTTACATCCTTCTTTCTTTTGTACTATTACAAAACATCTTAAATAGAAACAGAACTAATACTAGGTGCCAGGAGACAGAGACCCTCAGACTGCAGCACATGGTCTCAATACATCCTGCAAAGAAATAATCATTAAGCAAGTCACATCACTCTCTTATCTCCAAGTGTATGAATAAGCAGGGCAGCCATGGCAGAGGGAGTCTGTGACCTGGAAAGCTGTATACTAGAGAAGACAGAGGTATCCAATCCTGGATGAGGATAATGAGATGAGAAAGAAGACTGAACAGTAATAAAAGCCAGGCTTTCATAAAATACAAGTTAATAATTGTGTCCCCAATTTCTGTTTAGGACTGAAGAATGTTTTCTACACTTTCTACAAATCCACAGTGGAAGCCTTTGTCTATTATATTGCTCAATATCTTTTATGTAAGGAACCAGGCAATATATGCTTGCTAGTACTGAGTACAAGAAAACAAGACTCATTTTAAGATCAAATTGGGAGTTTTCTGTTAAATCAAACAATATAACTATATGAGGTCATGGACTTTTTTAGAGCTGGAAGGACTGTTGGAAATTAACTAGTCCAACATTTTCTCTTTTTTTTTTTCTTTCATTCTTTTCTTTTTTTTTTTTTCTGTGCTGGTCCTGGGGCTGGAATTCAGGCCTTGAATTTTACTCAAGGCTAGCACTCTACCACTTTGAGCCACAGCTTCACATCTGTCTTTTTGGTGGTTAATGGTGATAAGAGTTTCATGGACTTTCCTACCAGGGCTGGCTTTGAATTGTGATCCTCAGAGCTCAGCCTCCTAAGTAGTTTCGATTACAGGCATGAGTCTGTATAGTGAAGCATTTTCTAAAGTGAACTTTAGATGTTATGGTAAAAAGATGATCAAACATGTTTTTCTCTTTCTATAACATTTTTTGAGTTATCATTGACATACTATGAAATTCACCCTTTTAAAGTATAGTTCAGTTGTTTTCTGTATACTTGGAAGAGTGAACCATCACCTTTATTAATTTTAGACCACTCCAAATGACTCCACAGCAGCCATTCTCCATTCACTCGGCAAACAAGCATCCTTGTCACAGAAACCCTTGGAACTTTTGGTGTTAAAAAGTGTTTTATGAATTTGAAGATGTAGTAACATATTTAATAGCTAACATTGCAGTATCATACTAAATACTGCACATGTGTTATCTCAATTCTCATAATAAAATCTAAGACATACAATATACTAAGTGTGAATTTTAAAGCATAAAAGATTGAGGCTAGCTAGGTGCTGGTGGCCCATGCCTGTAATCCTAGCTACTTAGGATGCTGAAATCTGAGGACTGCCTTTCAGAGTCAGCTGGGGCAGAAAGAGCTGTGAGATTCTTATCTCTAACCAACAAAAAGTTGGAAGTGGAGCTGTGGCTCAAGAGGTAGAGTTAAAAAAGCTCTAGGACAGTGCCCAGGCCTGAAGTTCAAGCCCTAGAACAGGCGCAAAAAAAAAGAGAAAGAAAGAAAGAAAGTTAGGAATGAAGGAAGGAAGGAAGGAAGGGAGAGAGAGAGGGGGAGAGGGAGGGAGGAAGAGAGAGAGAAGATTGAAGATTAAGTAACTAACGTGCTTATGTGTTAACCATTGAGAAACAATGAGTTTAATGATCAAGCTCTAAGACACAAGTAAGCACAGCACAGTTTCCAATCCATGTCTGGTTTTAATTCCTTTGGCACAAGAATACAACAAGAATACTTGTACACTGAGCATGATAACAGTTTTCTATGGGGTATATCTTTGTAAGAGCTTTAGTTCAGTCTCTTTTAATTTTGTGAGAAACACAGGGCCCTGAAATGAGTTAGCCATGAAAGCAGCATTCTCTTTGAATTTTTCCCCTCCTTGGGTTTCTGAACTAATAGCAAAACTTAGAATCCAATTACAATTATATAATGCCGGTTCCTGATACAGTTCTCTCCCTTCTTTAAATGCCTTCCTTTTTATTAAGTCTTTATTTTTAACACTGTAGGTTATCTTAAAACCATGTTGGACGGGCTGGGAAGGTGGCTCAGTGGTAAAGCGCTTGCCTTGCGCGCATGAGGCCCTGGGTTCGATTTCTCAGCACCACATAAGCAAAAAGAAAAAAGCCGGAAGTGGCACTGTGGCTCAAGTGGTAGAGCGCTAGCCTTGAGCTGAAGAGCTGAGGGACAGTGCCCAGGCCCAGAGTTCAGGCCCCAAGACCGGACCCAAAAACAAAAAAACAAACAAAACAAACAAAAAAACATGTTGGAGCTGGGTGCCAGTAACTCACACCTGCAATCCTAACTACTCCGGAGGCTGAGAGCTGAAGATTGACATTCAAAGCCAGCCCAGGCAGTAAAGTCCATGAGACTCATCTCTAATTAACTACCAAAAAGCCAGAAGTGGAATTGTGGCTCCAGTGGCAGAGCACTAGCCTTGAGAAAAAAAAGCTCAGGGATGGCACCAAGATCCTGAGGTTCAAGTCCCAGTACTGGCATGTGCATGTACATGTGTACACACACATGTGTGTGTGCGCGCACACACACATATCTTGGATTGACTTTGCTTCTTCTTTTTTCTCATGGGAAGCAATGCATTCCTCCTCCACCTCCGGAGTACAAATCCCAGCCATCTTTTAATGGCTAACAGACTCAGGAGGTACCTGTCAACTTTCCTCCCCTCCTAAGTGGATGTCATCTCCCTCCCCCCAGGGTGCAGCCTCACCCAGCATCTCCTCTCCACAGGTATCTACCTATAGTAGCAGCTACTAGGAACTCTGATCCTAACCCATCACCTATCCTAAGATCTCCTGCAGGGCAGAAGGTGGGGTTAGTCCAAAAGACCAGCAACTCTAAGACACAAGTAAGCACAGTTTCCAATCCATGTCTGGTTTTAATTCCTTTGGCACAAGAATACAACAAATCAAGCCTGTCGGCCCCTCAGAAGAGGTTTACTGATATATATATATATATATATATATATATATATATATATAATATATAAAATATATATATAATAGTTGTGCACACGAGTTTCAATCGAACAAATCAGTTCATAAGTACAACGCATCTTGGTCAATGTCACCCTTTCCAAGTTCTCCCCCATCTTTCCTAACCCCACTCATACAGGTTTACTGATTCTTAATGGCTTTTAGTGAAGTCGGAGCCCAGAGGTGGCTCAGCACTACAGCCAGTGCACCCAGCACCGACCACCGCCGGCCTTTCGGAACCAAGTGAACTCAGCTCCAGTAACAGTACCCGGCCGGGGCGAAGGTAACCGGCTGCACGTCCTGATCCCACCCGAGCCTCACGACGACCCAGGAGCGAGGACACGCCATGCTTTTCTGAGAGAGACCAGGGCCAGACCAGGGGATCGGGACCAGCAGAGGTCTCTTGCCCGGGAGATGACAGAGCAAGGCCTCGAACCCGGGTCCCTGTCCGCGCGGTTCAGAAGTTCTTCGGGGCGAAGAGGGAGAGCGTAAGGCTTCGGTCATCGCGCCCCGGCACCCCACTTCTGACTGCCGAGATCTCCGGGCCGTAGGTCACCGGACGCGGGTCGGGTCTGGGGTCGCGCGCCCCGCCGCCCCCTGCCCCGCGCCATCTTGGAGCGCTGAGGCGGCCACTCCGGACTGCCCCAAGCCGCTGCTCCAGCGGTTACTCACCCGCACTGCCCGGGACCAGGCCCCCTGCCACTTCGGCGACCTCCGTCACGGCCAGCAGAAGCAACAGCACGCTGTTCAGGGAAGCCCGGGCGGCCGCCATGTCCGGGCCGGGCGGGTCCGAAGCAGCGGGATGCTCGGACCCAGCCGGGCCGCCACAGCCGCTCGCTCCAGGCCCCGCCCCCGCCGCCCGGGCCTTTGGTGATTGGCTGCAGTGAGCTCTAAGCCCCGCCCCCGGGCGCAAGAAGTTTCCAAAACCTCCTGGGGGCGGCAACGCGCCCGAGACCCCAGCTCTTTGTTAAGGGCCAGCTGTGGGTCGGCTTCAGCTTCGCCGAGGCGGGGTGGGGTGGTTTGAGGCGCCCTGGGAACGCCTCCGCCGTCTCCGGGGGTTTGCACTTGGGCTCATTGGGGTTCCGATGGGGACTGAACTGTCAAGCTCGTACTCCAAGCTCTTGGGCCGAGGACGAAGCCCCGGCGACGCCCCGGGAGCCTCCGCACGGGGTTCCCGGGGATGCTCTCCACCCTTCCAGCTAGAGAAGGCGTGGCGCCCGGCCTCGCGCGTGGCCCGCGCAGACCCAGGTCAGAGCCCCGGGCCTCGGGTACTAGTGATTAATTCTTAATCCTCCCTGAGGGGAGGAGGGTGCTGTGTGACTGTGCTTGGAGGGCCTGCAAGGCCAGACCGAGGAGGTCAGGCGTGGTTGACAGTTTAGCCGGGTTGCCGGTGGCTCACGCCTGTCACCCCACCTACCCAGGACGCTGGGATCTGAGGGTGGCGGTTCAAAGCCAGTCCGGGCAGAAAAGTTCAAGAGACTCAGGTCCGATTAACCCCCCAGGAAACGGAAGTGGGGCCGTGGCTCAAAGTGGTAGAGTGGGTAGCCTTGAGCAAAAGAGCTCAGGGACAGCGCCCAGGCCCAGAGAGACTCACGGTTTGCGCGTGCCTCTCCGCTCTCCCTCTTGAACAAATAGTCCATCCATTTTGGAGCTACTTTGATGCTCGATGATGAAGCCGGTAGTTTACTTCCAGGTTCCCCTCTATGGAGATCACTAGAAGCTGACGCTTTCCTTTGGGAAAGGGAGCGGTGCAGTACTCCATGAGAAGAGCAAGGGCTTAACGTTGGATTGATGCTGCACACTAGCTCCCACTAGACCTGTGATTCTGCACAGACATTTAATTTCACTCTCAGTTATTCTTGGCCCTCTTGGAGAAAATTAAGGAATATACTATATTTAAGATGTCTAAACGGGAGCTTGGAATATGGCTTAGTGGAAGAATGCTTGCTTAGCATGCATGAAGCCCTGGGTTCAATTCCTCAGCACCACATAAACAAAACGAGCCAGAAGTGGTGCTGTGGCTCAAGTGGTAGAGTGCTAGCCTTGAGCAAAAGAAGCTCAGGGACACTGCCCAGGCCCTGAGTTCAAGCCCCAGAACTGGCAAAAAAAATAATGTATTTGACATATTTGACAATGCATATAATGGGAGCACTTTCAAACTGTAGTGAGAGATGGATGGATCCTCCCCCAGGGCTGGGAGACTGAGTGGCTGGTCTCATTTCCCTCCCTGCTTCCTACTCCTCAAGAAGGAGAAAAGGAAAAGAAATGAGAAGTGGGGGGGGGGGCCTGAACTCTGGGCTTGGGCGCTGTCCCTCAACTCTTCAGCTCAAAGCTAGTGCTCTACCACTTGAGCCACAGTGCCACTTCCGGCTTTTTTCCCTGCGTATGTGGTGCTGAGGAATAGAACCCAGGGCCTCATGCATGCAAGGCAGGCACTATACCACTGAGCCACCTTCCCAGCCCCTCTTTTCACTTTTTTAAAAATGAGATTTTATTTTTCTTTTTTAGAGCAGTTTTGGTTCACAGTAAGACTGAGTTGGGGGCATATGTCCCTTAGCCTTTGTGCACATAGTCCCCTGCTAACCTGCATCTTTCACTGTAGTGGGTACATCTGATCATGTTGACAGTCATTCTCCAAAGTCCCTAGTTTACACAAGGATTCACTTTCCATGTCCTACTTTCTACAGGCTTTGACAACTGTGTAGCCATCATTTTTCATTTTTTTTTAAATGCAGCTTAAACTAAGAATTGCACATATGTTTGTTATATTTATGTTCTGCAAGGCTAGTATAATAGTCTTTCATTAAAAAAATATTAACATCACCATAGCCAACCTGCTGGAAATGAAAGAAAATCTTGAAATTAGCCAGGGATTAGTGATTGGTGATGTATAACACATAACTAAGAAGAGAAACAACATTTCACTAAAAATAATGAAGGCCCCTGTCAGCCTTCCTCACTGCTACCATCCTAGCCCAACCAGCATTATACCTTTCTTGGAATATTATAATAGCTTCCTGACTGATCTCCTTTCTTTCCCCTTTTATATTCTACAAACTATTGCAATAAAGCAAGTGTAGTGATCTTCTAGTTATGTTGTTTTTCTCTTCAGAACTCTCCAAACATTTCCTATCTCATGCAGAGAAAAAGTCATATTTATCACAATGGTTCTCGAGGTTCTGTATTCTTGCTTCTTCTTCTTTTGCCTTGTTTCTCATTGTCCTTGTTTCTTATTTGCTCATCTATTCCAGCCAATCCTGCTCTGTGTCATTGCTTAATTTCTCCATAGAGCCTGCAAAGAACCCTTGCACTTATAGTGCCTTCTGTCTGAAATCCATTTCTCCAAGCTATGCAAAGTTCTCCCTCTTCTTTTTTAGCTCCTAACTCAATTATCCTTCTTTCATTATCCATCTTAAGATTGTAGTTTAACATCCCTCAGTGTAGTCCGTTTCCTTCCTTCATATTTCATCTTTTGAGAAGGAGAAGGAGTCATGATTCAAATCTATAATTCCAGCACTCAAAAGGCTGAAGTAAGAGGATCACAGGTTCAAGACGTTCATCTCTTCAGGATGATCCTTGGAATTAAGCAGTAGATAAAAAGAGAAATTTTCTAAATGTAGATGTTTGAAATTCTAGGCACAGTAATGTCCAGAGAAATATGTTTAAAATATCAGAATCAGGCCTAGAAAGCTGAGGACATAACATATGTATGAAGAACAGATACGGAAGCACACTGTGATCATTCAAGTATATTTTCTCCCACCATCACTAATTCCAAACAATATGACTCACTCTGATGCAGAGGGGGAAACAAAAAAGGAGAAGGGATTGCTTGTGAAGGATGCAATGGGGTGGGACACAGAACCCCTAAGGAAGACTTGAGAATGAGTTAAGGGGGATCTGAGTCCTACTGCCCATGTGGAGTTCAGAGAAATAACAAATCTTACAAAATTCCTCTTTGTTCAACATGATGTGGCTAGAAAATAAAAATGGCTTCAATGATGTCCATGTTTCCCACAGAAGAAGAGTAGCTCAATGTTTTCTATGTACCACAAGAGAGAAAAGGGAGCTGAGATGCTGAAGAGGCTCAAGATCAGAATGTGGGGCCTGTAGCCATTGTGTGCATGGCCTGTACAGCTGGATACCAGATGACAATGCAGGTGTCATCAGGAGTGCATGATGACAACAGAGGACCAGATGTCCTGCCTTCTTCCTCAGGCCCCATTGCTGGTTTTGACCTTATGTATTCCTCTCAAAACTATGGAGATTATTTGATAAGAGCCTCAGCTAAAACTAATATCATTGAACTGAGAGTAAATTTTAATCAGTAGGAAGATGTGCAAAGTCAATTTATTGTCCATTGAAGATTTGATCACACTGTCTAGAAGCTGTTGCTTGGAAGCAACTACTCAGAAAACTGTTTTTCAATTGTGTATCATGTATATCATTCATTTAATAATTATGAATAACTTGGAGAACAAAATGCTCATATGTGTTGGATCGGCATACCTGACATCCTCACTGCTTCCTATAGTGAGCACTCAGAGGAGAAAGGCTTAATCTAACACCAATATGCTATGAAACTCAGCACATGACGTTCAGTCTGAGATTCTCTTAACTAGAAGTGCTTTCATAATATCCACCAGCCTCCAATGAGCCCTACAAAGACATAAATTTGTTCATGTAAAATTGTTTTTATTCTCTATTAATGTTAAGCTTTAAAAAATTATTTTTTAGGGTTGAGTATGTGTGTCAATGTAAAGTTCTTGCTATATAAAACAAAACTCTAGCCAGGCACTGGTGACTCATACCTGCAATTCTAGCTACTCAGAGATCTGAGGATCTTGGTTCAAAGCCGGCCTGATAGGAAAGTCGGGGAGACTCTTCAATAAACCACCAGAAAACTGGACGTGGAGCTGTGGCTCAAAGTGGTAGGGCACTGGCCTTGAGCAAAGAGATCAGGGACACTGCCCAGGCCCTGAGTTCAAGCCCCATGATTGACTCTATCTATCTATCTATGCTTTATTGCCATAAGTTCTTATAACAATAAATTCAAATTATCAACAAATTCAAACAATAAGTTCAAATATATAACAATTTCTTGATTCAAAGACTATGAGGATGGTTTAAAGAAAAAACACAGCATTTGGAATTATGGATAACAACTGCAATCACACAGTTTTGGCTCTGTGTTTTTGTTTGGGGTCTACTGTAGTGAAAGCTCTTTTTGTTGTTGTAGGTGGTGGTGCCAGTACTGGGCCTTGAACTCAAGGCCTGGCCACTATCCCTGAGCTATTTTCGCTCAAGGCTAAGTGTTCTACTACTTGAGCCATAGCTGCAATTCTGGCTTTTTGGTAATTTATTCAAGATAAGAGTCACAAGGACTGGGCTGGGAAGGTGGCTCAGTGGTAGAGCGCTTGCCTTGCATGCTCGAGGCCCTGGGTTCGATTCCTCAGCACCACATAAGCAAAAAGAAAAAAGTCGGAAGTGGCACTGTGGCTCAAGTGGTAGAGCGCTAGCCTTGAGCTGAAGAGCTGAGGGACAGCGCCCAGGCCCAGAGTTCAGGCCTCACGACCGGACCCCCCAAAAAAAGAGTCACAAGGTCTTTCCTGTCCTGACTGGCTTTGAATTGCCAATCCTCAGATCTCAGCCTATATATATAAGAAATTATGATACATTTTTCCCTAAAATGTTATAATATTTCCACAATTCAGAAAAATTATCCTTGCTTTTGATGCCAAACAATAATGGGATAAAGTTATACTTTTCAATATGTACAATTTTTATCATGCATTGTTAACACAAGCAGCACTTTATTGTCCTAGTAATAGGATGCTTAACATTTTATGTTTATTGGCCATTTCCATTT